CTTTTATTATTTCCTCTTTTTAAATTTCTGTAGAACAATTATTTTATTTAATTTTATTTTAATTTGACCAGAGAGGGACAGAGCAAGAGAGAGAGAGAGACAGGGAAAGTGAGAAAGCAAGCTGCCAAGTCCAGGACTTGAACCACAGTTGGCCATGTGGGAGTCCAGCGCCCTTAACCACCACACTGCCTGCTGGCTCCAAAAAGCATTTTTATAAAATACTTCATTTCAGGAAGGAAGGACAAAGAGGCTCCTACTAGTTCAGCCTCCTGCTTTCACGCACATATTCCCTATCCGCAGGGGACATTTGTCTGTCTGCAATGTGTTTTGTTGTCATGACTTGGAGGAGAGATACAGCTACTGGGTACAGGCCAAGGATGTCCATATCCTACAATGCACAGGACAACTCTGAGAACCAAGAATCACCTGGGCCAAAATGTCAGTAGTGCTCCTGTTAAGAAACCCTGTTCTTGGGGCCGGCAAGTGGCATGGTGGTTAAAGGCGTTGGACTCCCACATGGTCGACCACGGTTCAAGTCTCGGACCTGGTGGTTTGCTTTCTCATTTCCTCTCTCCCTCTGTCTCTCTCTGATCAAACTGGAAAATAATAATGATAATAATAATAAATAAAGTTAAATAAAATAATTAAAAAAAAAAAAGAAACCCTGTTCTTGAACCAGCCTGGGGATGTGGTGGTTAAGGTGGTGGGATCCCACATGGTCAAGTACATGATTCACATTCTGGACCTTGCACTTTAAAGATCACTCAGGCACATCCCTGTTGGGGGAAATTTCTTACTTTCCCTCTTTGTGAGTCTCTCTCTCTAGTAAGCATATGTGCCTTATAGCAAAAACTTCAAAGAAAGAAACCATTCTAGAAGTTTGTAATTGTGACACCAGGGCTAGCCTGCTTCACGTTCGGTGAAAATGTTATCACAGGTCTCTATTTAAAGTATTGTCTCCCTCCATTCAAATGTGCTTAAAAATATTTAGAGAAAAGAAGCATGGAAGCACATTCCTGGTAAGGGTTAAGTTATAAAATATGCAGTTTAGAAAAGAGATTATTTTCCATAGTGATTAGGCATTCATCACAAAGGAGGGGCAGCTGAATAAGTTAGAATGTAATTGCCAGGTAAATATTTTTCTGACTCCAAAGAGATGTTATGGGGCTTTTCTCAGGGATGGAGGGAGTGAGTTCAGGTTAGCTGCTAGTTTTCTTTCATTTTTCTGACTCTCATCTGGAAGCAAATGAAAACATCACTGATATTGACCCTTTTTCATTACTAATTGAAAACTGGCCTCTTCCTCCAAAGGGCTTATATTGAAAAGTAGAAGGAGACAAGACCAAGTACAGACTTATCAATTTCTAAAATATGGTACTGAAATCAGGTCCTTTCTTCCAGGATTCTCTCTGTGATGGAGGTCCGGGAGAACCTTCCCCAAATGGTGAGAATAATCTTTAAAATATTTTTTAAAAACTATTTATTTATTTATTTATTTTAATTTGGCCAGATTGAGAGAGAGAGAGAAAGTGAGAAAGCAAGTTGCCAGGTCTAGGACTCAAACCATGGTTGGCCATGTGGGAGCCTAGTGCCATTAACCACCACCTGCTGGCCCCAGGAGAGAATAATCTTACCTCACTGTATTGACCAAGGAACTCAAGCTTAGGGGAATTTACATAATTTGTCTAACAAACACAACTGGTTAAGAATTAAAACCAGATTTATTTTTTTAATCTTTTTTATTTTATTTATTTATTTATTTATTTGTTTGTTTATTTAAATTAGATCAGAGAAGAACAGAGCAAAAGAAAGAGGGAGAAAAAGTGAGAAAGAAAGCCGCCAGGTCTGAGACTCAAACCATGATCAGCCATGTGGGAGTCCAGTGGTCCAGTGCCCTTAGCCACCACGCCACTTGCCATTCCTAAAACCAGGTCCTGAAGCTCAATCTTTTCTCTTTTAGATTCAGTCACTTTCTTTTCTTTTTTACAATAATTATTTATTTTAATTTTATTTATTCATTCATTTATTTTTATTTGACCAGAGAGAGAGCGGGAACATGAAAAAGAAAGCCACCCATCCAGAACTCAAACCATGCTCAGCCATATGAGAGTGTCCAGCACCTTAACCACCATGTCACCTGCGGGCCTCACTTCATTTTCTTACTGACTTGGTACATTAGGCAGTCACTGAATTGGAAGTTGAAAATAATATCAAGTTTTCTGTAACTTTGGGCAAATATTTTAACATCTCTAGAACTAAGAGTCCTCTTATGCACATTGGGATGGCGATATTGTTTGGTGTGTCCATGCCCCTTAACAATTTTCATGCATGTTGGATCCAGGCCTCTCATTAGGCTCTCAGGAATTTAGGTCTCTTCTATTTGCATGGGTCAATACTGGCTGATAGAAGGAGACAGGCAACTACTGAGTGATGGGGTGATGGATAAGAGGGGCTGCCTCTTCCACTCAGGCTCTCCTAGGCCCAGGGTCAAAAAGCAGAGACTAGTATGAGTGTTAGTGTGGTGTTAGCCCGGACCACCCAGGATAGTAGATGGGCCAGGACTATTGTAGCAGCAAAGGCAGCAGAATCAAGCTAAAGAGAAGTTGGGCATCATTACCTTTATTTGGAACGCATAAAGTGCAATTCTTCCTATTATTCACTCACCCATCAAACTTTCATTGAGTCCAAACTCAAGCACATGGTAGAGAGTTATTTGACTAAGATAAAGCAGATCTCTTCCTTCCTGAGGTTTAATAGTGGGTAAGGCTGTGGACTTTGGCATCAATACCTGGGTTTATCTCCCAGCTCTGGCACTTCCTGGGGCCAACTTTTTAACTTCTTGCCTCAATTTCCCTATCTATAACATAGATGTAAAAGTATCCATATTAAGGAGATGCTTCCAGAAATAAGTTAACTAATACAGGTAAAGCACTTAGCATGAGGTTTAGCACAGAAAGAGTATTTCATGAAGGTGAACTATCTCCATTGCTGTTCAGTGAAAGGACAGATCTGCAAATGGGAGGTTGTTAGCGGTCCATAGAGCCCTAAGAGATGGGATTTAAGGCAAGAAACATGTACCCAACAAGAAAGGAGAGAAAACAATCACAAGAAGTCATTGTGTATATTAATGGAAGAATGAGCATATAGAAAAATCTTCATGAGAGGAGAATGCAGACACCATTCAAATGTAGCAAATACATACCCAGAACCAAGTGGGTCCACTCTGATCTTCTTTGATCTTTGGAACAAGCCTGTGAGATTAGTATCCTCACCTTTATCACAGTCCCAGGGCTACGGTAAACTAGTGGCTTCAAATAACAGTTCTAGAGGTTAGAGGTCTGAAGTCAGTGTTGCTGGGCCAACATCAAGGTATATTTGTTTGTTAGGGTTACCATAGCAAAGTGCCATGAGCTGAGTGACCTAACACAATAGAAATTTATTTTCCCACAGTCCCAGAGTCTGAAAGTCTAAGATCAATGTGTCGGCCGGGTTAGATTTTCCTGAGACCTCTATGACCTCTATTCTTGGCTTGCAAGTAGCCACCTTCTCACTGCTTGGTCCTCACGTAATCTTTCCTCTGTGTCCGTGCATCCTTGGTGTCTCTTCCTCTTCTTATAAAGACAGTGGTTTGGAGAATGGTCTGTACCCCAGTATTCATGTTTTGGAATCGGGGCGCCAGTGTAATGGCATCGGGAGGTGGTGAGGTCTGTAAGGGGTGAGCTCTAGTGGGAAGGAACTGAATCATGAAGTCATACCCTTCATAAATGGATTAGTGCAATCTGAAGAATGTGCTCTATGTCTTGTGAGAAGGGGTTATTCATTTATTTTAATTAGACCAGAGAAGAACAGAGCAAGAGAAAGAGAGAGAAAAAGTGAGAAAGACAGCCGCCAGGTCTGAGACTCGAAGTCCAGTGGTCCAGTTCTCGTGAAAGTGGGTTGCTAGGTTGCTATAAAAGCAAAAGTGCTGTCCTAGGTCTTTTTCTATGCTCTCACTTACTAGCTTCTCTGTTTCAGTCAGTCATGTTGTGACATGGTCTGTCCAGTGCTGGCCTCATACCTTAGAACTTCCAAGCCACCAGAATTGTAAGCCAAATGAACCTCTATTTTTTATGATCAGGCTCAGATACTTCTGTTACCAACACAATAGTAGATTAAGATACCATTCTATTAGATCAAGGCCCACTGTCATAACCTCATTTTAACTCAATCACCTCTTTAAATAACCTTGTCTCAAATATGGTTATATTCTGAGGTCCTGGGGTTGGGAGTTCAACACATGAATTTGTGGGGAGACACAATTCAGCCTGTAACAGTAGGGCCACGGTCCCGGGGGAGGCCCTAGAAGAACCGATCCTTGTCTCTCTGAGACCCTGGTGGCTACTGAGATTCCTTGATTTGTGGCTGCATCACTGCAATCTCCACCTCCGTGGTCACATTGCACTTTCTTTTCCTTCTATGTGATTTCCCTTTAACTCCCTCTTATAAGGATGTTAGTGATGGCATTTAGGACCCACCAAGATCGACTCCTCTTCTCAAAACCCTTAATTTAATTATACCTGCAAAGACCCTTTTTCCAACTACGGTAACACTTGCAGGTTCTAGAGATTAGGATGTGCATACTTTTTTGAGAGGGCTTTTTCAGCCTGTGGTATCACCCCATTATAGAAATGGGAAAATTGAGGCTCTGCAAGGTGAAACAAGCTACCAACCTCATATAAAGAACAGAGGCAGAGGTAGGCTTCCAAACATAGGGGTCTGAACCCAATCCACTGCTCCTTCCAGTCCACATAGCTGCATCTCAATGAAAGCAGGAGAGAAGGACCGTGCTCAAAAGGATGGCCTCACCTAGAGGCTCCCCTTTAGAGAAGACGAACATAGCAGCTTAGCAAGGACCATGAGGTGGGCAAATCCCATTATCAATTTACTTGGGGTGAGACCAGAGACTCATATTTGTGGACAAGCAAGTTTCTAGAAGCAAGGAATGTGACATGAGACTCAGCTCTAGAAAAAATGAATTTGTTTTGTAAAATGTCTCAGATACAAAGGGCCAGGGCTGATGGAAGAACTCTGTGGTGGTTCAACTGGGCAGGCCATGGCTGGAGAGGATGCTTATTCTCTCAGGAATGAAGCAGTGGGCATGGAAGAACTTGCCATGTCTTGTTCACAGAGACACTGGGAAGCAGTTAGTGAGGGTGGCAGCCCGCAGGGTGATTTGGACCTGTGAGCATGAGGTGAGGGAGTGGCTGAGACTCTGACAGGTGTATTTCTGTTTAGAAAGGAGATGTTCATTACAAGCACAAGGAACAGAGCAGCTCGCTTGTTTTCTTGCTCTGTTGAAGAATGGAAATTTCCACATCCAGGAAACTTCTTCCTATGGAGAGATAACCAGTTACTTGAGCTCTAGCACTACAAAATAATGGGTGGCCCTAAATCTATTTCAGATGGCAAGATCAAGGCTAAACTTGACTTTAGGGCCTGACTTTACAAACTGCCCCTAAATAGGCAATATTTCACAAGATGCATTTGTTAGATATGAACTTGGCTGCCCTAACAGAGGTTACAGGAAATAGTGGCTTAAACATAGTAGAAGGTCACTTTTCTTCCACTTACCAGTCTATGCTTACACCATTAAGAGGTAGCAGAGCAGAAGACCCAAGTTCCTTCCACCTTTCTGCTGCACCATCCTGAGGGCGTTGCCCTCGTTCACATGGTCTAACAGAATCATGTTCCTCATCATCTTCTGTCTATCTTCTCAGCTCTCCCATATCCCCTGTCAATAAGTCTTTAAATTTTATTTCTCCAATTTAAGTATCTAGAGAGGTTTTTGCTTACCTAATTAAATGTCAACTGATACAGTCTGTAACCTGAAAAGGAAGGATAGGTGCTGCCGAGAGAAAATGGTCAAAGGAATGCCACAGACATGCGGATATGTCTACATCCCCGAAGAGAGGCAAGACAGAGGAACAACGCATTTACTATCTAAGAGAGGGAAACTGGCTTCACACATTATCCCTGAGTAGGTGATTCGAGCTGGCCGAAGCTTCAGAGTTTAAGGTCGGGTGGTGCTGGATGGTGCTAGTTAATATGCTCCTTAGTGGAGGATCCTGAGGTGGGAGTGGACTTGGATAGTGGGTAGGCTGAGGTGGGGTGAAGAGAACAGGAGGTACTCAGCAGACTGCCTGGAGGAAGCAGAGGTTAACTAAGTTTTGTTGTGGGCTGAACTGTGTCTTCTCCAAATTCATGTTGTAGTGCTAACTCCCAATACCTCAGATTGTGACATATTTGGAAATAAGGTCTTTAAAAAGGTATGGGGGACCACTGGGTGGCATGGTAGTTAAGGTGCTGGATACTTCCTCATGACTTACCATGGTTTGAGTCCTGGACCTGGTAGCTTGTTTGCTCACTTTCTGTCTCTGTCTCTCTCTGGTCAAATTATATATATAAAAAAAGAGGTAATTAAGTTAAAATGAGTTTATTAAAGTGGATTCTAATCAAATATGACTAATGCCCTTATGGGAAGAGGAAACTAAGACACAGACAACTATAGAGAGAAGAATCACGTTCCTCATTATCTTCTGTCTATCTTCTGAGCTCTCCCACGAGAAAACACAGGGAGAAGATGGCCATCTACAATTCAAGGAGAGAGGCCTCATACTCATATAACATCAGTCCTACTAGTAGCTTGATCTTGGGCCTCTTGTTTTCAGGTTGTGAGGAAATAAATTCTTGTTAGTTTGGCTGCCCAGTCTATGCTATTTGTTACAGCAGTCTGAGCTGACTAATACAGTGCCTTATTTATCTACATATGTTGAATCCTCAGCAACATTATCTGGGAGTATTATGCCTGACCAAACTGTGAAAAGATGGAAGAGAAGGAATAGTGGCATGACCATGCCCCACTGAGGGAGTGCTTTCTCCCTTTCCCTCTCTCTTCTGTCTTTCTTTCTGAGGAGCACATATGACCTCTGCCAAAGAAAGAAAGAAAGAAAGAGAAAGAAAAAGAAAGGAAGAAAGAAAGAGAAAGAAAGAAAGAAAAAGGAAGAAAGAAAGAGAGAAAGAAAGAAAAAGAAAGAAAGAAAGAAAGAAAGAAAGAAGAAAGAAAGAAAGAAAAGAAAAAAGAAAAAAATCCTGACCTAATGAATTCAAAGGGCTGTCCAGGGGTTCAACAGGTGGTGTGGTGGTAAGGACTCTGGACTCTCACATGGCTGACTGTGGTTCGAGTCTCAGACCTGGCTGTTTGCTTTCTCACTTTCCGTCTCTCTCCTCTCTCACTCTGTCCCTCTCTGGTCAAATTAAAATAAGTAAAGATAAATAAAATAATTAATTTTTTAAAAAGGGCTGTCCAGAAGTTAGAATAAGGCAAAGTTGTGAATGTGCTTTGAAACCTGCTGTCAGGGTGGCCTCTGATGAGTGTGCCTGTGCATATGCTGTGTATGTCCACATGGAAGAATCCAAAAGGGAAGAAACAATGTTTCTAAAAAAAGTGTTCCCTACAGGTTATGGTGGGGCACAAATAACTGAGACCCCTAGACCTCAGTTCTCCTCTCATATCAGCCTGCTATGGGCCTCTGTTTCAGCCCCTGTAAAGTGGAGGAGGATGGACTGCACAGGGGCTGAGAATGAAATGGGAATCTATGAACTGTTAGGCCCCCAGGAAGGTGCCTAGACCCTTAACATTCTACACAAGACTTCAGACTATTGCCTCTTTTTCAGAAGCCAGTGGTGGGCCACAGGGATCTGGGTTGGGAATTCCTGGATCAAAAGTTCTCTGAAGTTCTGTCCAAGCACCCAGAAAGAAAGGAACAGATAACAAAGAAGGCAGAGGGAATGGGAGATGCAAAAGTGCTAAAGCACTGAATGAAACTGAAAAGGAATAGTTAGAGAGATCCGTGGAAAGGGCAGCACGAAGAATGTGGCAGTGTGTGGAGACTGTAAAACTTCCTGAGAAACCAGGCGCTCAATTTAAAAAGATATAGAAAGGGGTGTGGGGAGAAAAATGAAATCCATGCCCATAGAATAAAAATGGGTGGGTTGGCAATTAAAGACATGGAGAAGGCTTTAAGAGACTGCAAGAAATGGGAGAAGTCCCTGCAGAGGGCTGACTTCTGAAATGTTTGCTCTAAAGCTAATGGGCCCTTAGGGAACTTACCTAAATTCCATAGTAAGAGTGACAGCTGCCAACCTGGTCTCTGATGGGCCATTGAGAGATTTCTGGGACCAGCTGGCCAAGGCACTGGAAAGAAAGCGTAGACAGACACAGGCTCCAAAGAAAGCAACTCCAGGGCCTTGGGGGAACATAAAGAGGGAGGAGGAGAACAGCAACACGAGTGAAGCAACAAATGACAAGGCAAAAGTGCGTACGTTCAAGAGAGGAAGACCAATGTCAGAGGGAAATGAACAGAGAAATGACGCTAACAGTGGAGAATATAACAACCATGAGAAGGGCAAAAAATGAAATGGGGATTTCTGAAGTTCATAACAGATGTAAGAAATGAATGGTTTTGTTTTGTGGGAGATGTGAATGGTCATGTTACACATTTCATAATTTAATTACATAATTTGTAATCATTAAAAATCCCACACAAAATAAGAACAAATGTAATTCAAGGAGCCTGGATTGAAAAAGGAAGCTCTTCAGGGAATGGACCAAACTGACCACAGGGGTGGAATTATTTTTTTCTAGAGTGTATGTCCCCTTGAGAGCAAAGACTGGTAGAGAGGGCATTTGAAATCAGACTGGGGCTTAAATGTGTACTTGGCCATTGTGATTGTAGTTCTTTGAGTTATTTAAATGGCAGTTTCATTATTTATCAAAAAGAGAAGGTAATATTTGTCATGCTTGTGCCAGTGTGGTTTACAAGCTCATATGGAAAAAATGTGTATGTAATGGCTTTGTAAAGCTATAAATCACTTCAGAACCAAGTCATTATTTCTTTGCTCATTTATTTGTTTATTACCAATCCAAGTACTTCTATTATCCCAGCTAAACAGTTTCCACAAAGCTAAACAAAGAGAGACTTCTGTAATAGTTCAGTCTACTTTGTCCTTTATTTTATTAACTATTAGCAGTGAAATGTAGGCTGGAATGAGGCTTTATTCAGTCATTCTTTGACTTCTTTCTTCATCGCTCATTCAACTCCTGGTGACTGAGACCTTCCTGAGAGCCAGACATCTCACAAGTCACTGGGGGGACCAGCGTTGACTTTTTTTTTTTTTTTTTTTTTTTTACTCGGGGGCACCCATTCTCTCAGTGGG